ATACATACATACATACGTACATATAAATAAATAAATATATATATATGTATACATACAGACACACATACACATACACATACACGTGCACTGACCATATTCGTACAGATACACACAGACGCACATACACACATACACACATTCGCAAGCACACACACATACACACAGACGCGCATACCCACATACATATACACATACACAGATACACATATACACAGATACACATACACACATGCATACAAATTTATACATATATTTACATACATACATACACAGTATATATACATACATACATTGATACGTACATACATACGTAAATACATACATACACCGTATACATACATACGTACTTACGTACATACCTACCTACCTACCTACCTACCTACCTACCTACCTACCTACCTACCTACCTACCTACCTACATACATACATACATACATACATACATACTTACACAGTAAGCATACATACATACATACATACATACATGCATGCATGCATGCATGCATGCATGCATGCATACATACATACATACATGCATAGATACACAGTATACATACATACATACATACATACATACATACATACATAGATAGACATATGTATATGTATATGTATATGCATATGTACATATGTTTCATGTTTCTACATACTCGAAAGTACTCTGCTGCGAGGTTTCGACGATCGATGCGTGTTCTCTTTTCCGCTGCCATGGGGCACATCCTCTTAGACTGTGTGCCTTCGGAATTAAGGCTATATCTTCCGATCTTCCGATGCGCTTTGCTTCGTCTGAGAGTTTCTTCAACGCTCTGCTTGTCAGGGTTTCTGTTCGAGTTTGCTAGTTCATTTTGCAGAATTCATTGATCTGCCATGCTTTTGCAGAATCGCCAAAGTGTAAGTCTTGCTCAATTCGCTTTTGCTTTTTAGTGTTCTTGCGCACAGGATGCAGCAATACATAGTAGTTCTGCCATGTACCGTCCTCACATCCCGGCCCGCGGCGGCTCCCTTACGCAGTCGGAGAAACGAGGGCACCGTCTTGTCCATAAGGGGGCACAGGTTTTGAGAATCTCGTGCGACACATTGGAGTTTTAAGTTTTGCGCATCGGCCTGTGGACGGAAGAACTTCTTAGGAACCCCCTACAAAGCCCTGTGGAGCCCCTGCAAAGACTCAGAGACCCCCCCCCAAAGAGAACAGGAGAAGAACATGATCATGCACGTGGGCGAGAAGCTCCCCAGCTGCAGGGAGTTGTGAAATCCTTCCCTGTGCGGTGCATTGAAACTTCCACCCGGCACCTGCTTGCTTTCAGGTGCGCATTTGAAGCCCTGAACTAAAAACTGGTTGTTCGTACAGCATCGATTGACTTCTTGGTTCCGACAGATGCCACTATCTTGCCTTTTCTGCTATGATTGCTGCAGCAGCTGCGGCTGCTGCAGAAGCAAGTAGTAAGTAGTGCGCTGTAGGTAGTAAGTAATAAATATTTTCATGAGCATTGGCAAGTATCAGTCGCAGAGGCATGAGCATCAACATCACCAGCACAAGCAGCGGCAGGGCAGCAGTAGCGTAGTACTGATATCGGTTAGTGCTACTAGCAATACTTGTTGCAGGTGTAGCCCTCGTGTCACGTGGGCCGTCACTTTTGCTTCTGAGCTCAGCCTCCATTCCCGTACAGCCTTTAACATAACACGGTATAAAAGCCACCAAAACCCCTATTCTAACTCTTAAGGCCGCTATCTTTTCGTGCGTCGCCAGGTCCAGCAAGCAGATGATCTACACCCGCAAGATCGGAGGTGGCGAGGACCTTTGGTGGGTTTAGGATAGGGGCTTGAATAAATCCCAATACAATTTTGCGGTTCCTTGTTATAGTTATAGTATACTATGACCCGAAGGCCCGTTCTAATCATTAAGGCCCCTACATTACCCAAGCCTCAACCTTCAGAACTTAAAGTCAACTTTCCAAACTTCAAAATTCAACAGTTTATTTGTCGGACGTCCCTCCAGCCTAGATTAGAGCCACAAAACCCCTGGACTCACGCCAAAGTTCACAGCCACAAAAACCTGAAACCCTAAACTCTAGAGCAATCGAAGTCTGAAGCATTCAAAACCTGGCATCATTACCTTCGCCGATACACTCAGGTCTGAAGGGTCTAGGGTTTAAAGTTTAGGGGTTTAGGGTTTAGGGTTTAGGGTTTAGGGTTTAGGGCTTAGGGTTTAGGGTTTAGGGTTTAGGGTTTAGGGGTTTAGGGTCTAAAGTTTCGGTCTACCGTGCAGGGTGTAGCGCAGACATTCCGCGCGCCTGCACTCTCAAGCAGATCCTACCACAACAACTGGTTTTGAGGGTTTAGGAGTACCTTAAACCCTAAACCCTAAACCCTACACCCTCAACCCTAAACCCTATAGGAGTTGACAGAGCAACCACAAGAAGGGGAGCTCCGAAACTACAAGTGCTTAGCCCTAAACCCTACCAGAACCCCTACACCTCAAAGACAGACAAGAACGCAGGACTGAGACTGAGGATCATCATTTTGACAGCGAGGAAGAGCCTGTAGTCAAAAATACGCCGAAGATTTCAGGGTTTACGGCCTTTGGGTTCAGGCTTCCGGGGTTTATGGCCTTTGGGTTTCGGATGTCAGACCTTGGGTATTGAGGGTTTAAATCTGTGGGTTTAGGGTTTACGGTTTCGGGTTTCAAGGGGTTTAACGGTTTAGGGTCTTTGAGTTTAGGATTTTCTTTTGCGGCCAAATTGGGCTAAGGGTTTGAGTCTGAGGCCTCAATCCAGTTCTTCGGAGGTTTCCTGTTGCAGGGGGCGAGGTTAAACTCGAGGCCCCGCTCCATCAATGGGGTCCTGTGCTTAAGGCTCAGATGTACACTTCCACTCTGCCCTGAGCCGTCATCCCGAAACCCTACACCCAAACTAAACCCCGCAACCCTAACCCTGAACCCCAAAGTCCCAACGAAACCCAAACCCGAAACCCGAAACCCTAAATACTACAACCCTAGCTCAAAACCCGAAGCATTGAACCTGAAGCCTAAACAAAGCCCTAAAGCCCTCGGGCCAGGGTATGGGGGTAATAAGAACAACAACTACAATAATAGTAATATAAAGAATTTGAATAGGTAAATAAGTGAATAGACAAATACAAAAACTGACTAAACACATTTTGTATAAAAATGTGTATGTATGTATATATTAGTATATGTATGAAAGCCCGTGAATCCTCAACCCAAGAATCCAAACCGTCGCATCCTAAACTCTAAAGCCTTATAGGCCCTAAACGCTTGGGCTTTGGCTTCCGAGGGATCTCAACACAAAGCCTCGTAAACCCTAAGCCCCAAATGCCTCAAGAGATTGACTTCTGCCGCCTGCTCTTGTGGCTCTAAGCGACCATTCTGGCTCAGCGGTTTTGGGGCTCGGACCCTCGGGAAGGATGGGGGCGAACAAAGTCGCCAGCTTCTCAGGAGTGCTTCTGCGTTCTCTCCCGTAGTTTTTTTTTTTTTTTTCGNNGGTTTTAGGGTTTTAGGGTTTTAAAGTTTTAGGGTTTAGGGTTTAGGGTTTAGGATGCGCTTCTTCAAGCTCTGCGCTCCTGTCAAGCCTCAGCCCTGAACTGGTCGTCATCAAAAAATGCACAAGCTTTTCAAGCGACACCACACCCTCAACCCAGAAATCCTAAGTACCCAACACCTCAACTCGAAATCCTACAAGGGTTTAGGGTTTAGGGTTTAGGCTACACCCCAAACTCTAGACCTTAAAGCCTAAATCCACCGATGCCAATCCAGACCGTGGCCAGGAATCATCACGGGCCTCAGCAACGGGAACATTGCTTGATCTGCAAACCTTTTTTGGTGTGCTCATGGAAACACAGAATGCATGTATGTATGGATGGATGGAAGGTTGTATGTATGTATGTATGTATGTATGTATGTATGTATGTATGTATGTTTGTATGTATGGATGGTTTGGATACTTATATGCACTTGTTTGGCACGAGCCTTCTATACAGCAAGAAGTTCTTCCTTGCTGCTTAGAGATGTCAGGTCCAGAAGTCCAAGGAGGCCAAGATGAAGGCCGCCATGGCCGGCGGTAAGTCCCGCAAGAAGACGCTCGGCCTTGGGGGCTTGGATCCCGAAGTCCCCAAAACACTTATACTTGGAGGATCATGGGACTTAGTAAGTAAGGTTATAAGCCCCCTAATTGGGGCTATAAGTATAGCTACCTTAGTTATAACCCTACTTACTAAGTCTCATGATCCTTTGAGTAGGCTTCAGGGTTTAGGGTTGTGCCAAACCTGCAAGCCTGGAGGGTAGAAGGTTTTTTTTGGCATGCAAGCTTCAAGTTGGCAGCATAGGGTCCATTTAGGACGGAGATCAGCTAGTGTACGCTCCTAAAGCACCTCAAAGTCCGGGTCCGGGCCCAGAATCCGTCTGAGTCGCACCCAAAAAACCAGGACAAGGGGTAGAAGGAGTCTGGGATCAAGGTGTCGTGGTCTTATGGCCTGGGTTTTAGGGTAAATTGGACTGAAGCGAGTTCCGAGCTTTCTAATTGAATTCTACCAGGTCAAAGCAGAATGTAGAGAAGTCCTGGAGCTTCCAGCGCAAGGCCACGGCGACGGAAATGAATCGTTAATCCTAGGTAAACCCCGAACTAAACCATCCTACACCCGAGCCTAAACCCTAAATCTTAAAGCACCGCCCTGAACTCGGGAGCCTTTCACTGAGGAAGTGGGCCAAGGGCAAGGCCAACGGTGCTTTTGCAGGATATTTGCAGATGCATCTATGTCGGGCCTTCTGCAAGCTCCATGCTTCTTCGTGAGCCCTACACAGCCTACACACTAAACCGCAGTTTGTGGCCCTGAGCCCGTAGCCATCATGCAGAGAGCACGCCGCCTCGAACAACTCGGAGTGATGGGCACGCCCGAAGCCGCCGAAGCGCCAAGCTAATAGAGAAGCCTCCTGGCCAAGACAATTGCCACTATAATATTTTTGGGTTCCATTACAGTTATGGCATAGGCCCCTACATTGTGTTCTCCTGCCGGGCCCATAATCTCAGGTTCCATAGTCTTCTGACTCTGCATCAACCGTACCCTGAATCCTACACCCCGAGCCCTGGATCCACACTCCAAGCACACCTCAGAGCCCAAAGCTGCAGCGATAGAGCCGATCAACCCCTCCACCTCCAAGCTCTGAGCCTAAACCCTGAACCCTGAACCCTAAACCCTAAACCCTAAACCCTAAACCCTAAGCCCACCAGAAAAGCAGATAAGCACCTACAGCCATGTCATTCAGAAGACATCCGGCAAGCCTCAACGAGGATCAGAAAGTGCTATAGAAAGCAAGACCCAAACCACCAGCCCCAACACCCTCATGCCCAAGCCTTAAAAACTCCTCAAAGCCCCAAATCCCCCTTACAAAACCCCGACTATACCTAGGATGCTCGGCAGGTCAAGGAGAAGCTCGCCAACCTGGTCATGTTCGACAAGGTGCGGGCGGAGCTTTCTGGTTCATAGGGTCCAAAATGGCTTTAAAGCTTTAGGGTTTCGGTTTGAGGTTTGAGGTTTAGGGTTTCTAACATCAGCACGTCCTGTCGTGTTTTTTGGGAAGGTTCCCGGAAGACGGATTGGGGACCGTAATATAGGAACTGAACAACTACCACAAGGTTTCTCATTGTGTCTATATCATGATATACCCCACAGCCCTATTTTGCTTACTTTCGCTACCGAAGGCACTACACTGTGATGCCATGGCCGTGAAGTCTCCAAGCGGTGCTGTTACCACCCATGACACCTCATGAGAAGTCGGCCACTAGCTGATGCCCAGTGCCCCCCTCCCCGCCGACTGTCTCCATTTTTGGGTAATTGACCGCAGTTGTGTCCCAGCAGCGTCCGTCTGCGGAGATGTGGGGCTTTCTCGGAACACTCCCTTGTCGTTGGCTTATTGTTGGTTTTGTCTAAACGGTCCGGAACACCGAACTTGGTTAAACCCTAAACCCTAAACCCTAAACCCTAAACCCTAAACCCTAAACCCTAAACCCTAAACCCTAAACCCTAAACCCCTAAACCCTAAACCCCTAAACCCTAAACCCCTACACTTCCAATCTGCGCAGGCCACTTACGACAAGATGCTCAAGGAGATTCCCAAGGCGGGCACAGCTTGGAAACCGAGACCTTGGTTTAGGGTTTAGGGTTTAGGGTTTAGGGTTTAGGGTTTAGGGTTTGATAAACCTTAAGAGGTCTGAAACTGCTGTTTTGCCTCCATGAAGGCCAGAAACTCTGAACCTACACGGCATTAGCGAACGATCCAAGCTTGAAGAAGCCGTGCGACTGAATTCCTACACCCAATAACTTCAAATCTTAAAGGCTGAACCTTCCTTAAACCCTAGCCCTGAACCCTAAACCCTAAACCCAAGCCCCGAACGGGAATGCTATCCGAAGCGGCCGAGCCGGAACTCCCGAATTCGCATGGTTCTTTCAGGGTTCTGTAATTGTGCTGTTATGGGTTCTCTAAGGGGTTCTCTAAAGGGTTCTACCAGGGTTCACGACGTGTTCATTACAGAGTCTGATACACGTTGAGAGAGAGAGGAAGACTTTGAAGGTTTCAGGTTCAGCGGTGATTTCGGGTTTTTGGCTTTGCACTGCGCGGTGACAGCAATAAGAACCTCAAGCCTGAACATACCCCCCCCGGCCCCGAACCCAAAACCCCCAAAGCCAGAAACCTCATGCCAGGTTCGCAACCCTAAACCCTAAACCCTAAACCCTAAACCCTAAACCCTAAACCCTAAACCCTAAACCCTAAGCCTTCAACGCTCCACCCGAGAGCTGCTTGAAAGGCGAAGCTGATCACCCCCTCCGTGGTCTCCGAGCGACTGAAGGCCAGCTCCAGTGGGTTTTGTTTGTTGAGCCGTGGTTCAGTGGGTTTAGGGTTTAGGGTTTAGGGTGGATGGTTTTCAAGTCCTCCGGCGTAGCAGGGCGGGCGACAGAGAGAGAGAGAGAGAGAAAGCATTTGGCTGGCCTCTTCATCCGATCCATAGGATTGGGCTTGACACCGTGGTCGCATCCTAAACCCTAAACTTGAAGTCCAGAAAAGAGGGGCAACCAAGAGAAGTTCTGCTTTCAGGACTTGAAGGTTTCTGCAGAATGGTGATGGTCTGGGTGTCGACTTGTCTAGTGCAGGTCCCTTATTAATTAGAACAGTATATTATCTTGTAATTATAACAAGGAACCCCCCAAAAATCGTATGGGGGGCCTCTATTAGTGTGTTTGCGCTTCGGGGTCCAACGACAAGTGCGTCCCGCTACCGGAAGCATCGCGCAGATACGAGGATTCCGAGGCTGCCCCGAGCCTCGAAGCCCCGACGTTGAACTCCAGGCCCTGACCCGTAAACCCTACGTTTTTAAAAAAGGATACCCCGAAACTCTATTCTAATTGTTATGGCCTTTTAGTATAGGATGCCCCAAAACTCTATTCTAATTACTAAGGCCTTCTAGTATAGGATACCCCAAAACACTGTTCCAGTTATTAAGGCCTCTGTATTAAGCCTCCTGATCGACTTTTGGGGTTCTTTTTGTTTGGTTCTGCTGTATTCGTCAGTTCCAGGTGAACGGCTCTGTGGCTCGTGTGGCCATCCGACACCTGGAGGACCTCACGGTATTCAGGAGTTCAGGCTTCCAGTTTGTGCTAAGGCTAAGATGTTGAGCAGTTGGGAGGGAGGTTATTGCTTTGATCTCTGCCATGTGTGCCGGTATATGAGTGAGCGAGTCCGTGTTGCGTCTTTTGTGTCTGCGAGGCGATGCGCTGTTGGGGTCAAAGCTTTGGGAATGCTGTGTACAAGATGTCAACAATGCTGCTTTTCGGTGCCTGACCATCCTCATAAACACGGACAGGAGAAGAACATGATCATGCACGTCGGCGAGAAGTGCCATAGCTGCACAGAGCGGCGGGAAGAAACCCTGCACGATACACATGCACCCAGTGACACGTCTTGACATGAGCTCATGCTTTTATTTTGACAGCTTGTGCTCCCTAAATCCTAAACCCTTAAACCTCTACGTAACCCCCTCAACCCCAAAACCGGCAAACCCTAAGCCCGAAACCCTAAACGTAAACCCAAACGCAATACCCTAAATGCTAAAGCCCTGAACACTAAACAGACGAGCGACGCCAACAGCTGATGCTGCCGCTTGCTAATTTGAGACCACTTCTGTGTCTTCTTCTCCTGCAGTTCGCGACGGGCGTTACACCTACATGCAAGCGTGACACTGCTGCTTCTGATGCTACTGCTCGCGCTGTTACTGCCAAGGCTCCGGCCCTCGCTTGTTGGCGGTGGTGGTGGTAGCGGTAGAAAGCTTCGTTGAAGTGGTTACTCGTAGTCTCTATGAAGGTCCAATGAAGGTGCCTTCGTGGATTTCCCGCAAACTTCCGGACTGCACTTCCGAGCTCACCCTTTCCGCAATGCCGCCGAATGTTTAGTGTGGGGGCAGGTCCAGCAAGCAGATGATCTACACACGCAAGATCGGCGGTGGCGAGGAGCCTGCTGCATGAGTCCGAAGCTGCTCTCTTTTTTTCTACTCCAAGCAGGCTAGTAACGGCTAGTAGGGTTTATTAAGGCGCTATACAACCTCGCCACAAGTAAGCTGCAGCAAGTGCATCGCAGACCAAGCTGGGGAGGGTGCATCAAGTGCATAGTTGACCACGGACAACAAAACTCCATCCAAGAAGCAAGTCGGGAGCCACCACACTGAGTGCAATCCAATTTTCCTCAACCACGTCCAACTGCCTGCAAGGTCCCAGCACCTGCTGGCTCTGCCTTCAAACTGGACAAGACATGCGACATCTCCGCCCCCAACATCCGCAATCACCTTCGACAGCATCCGTTTTCCCACCCACAAATCATTGCAACGGCTATCAAAACGCCAGAAGCGAGACTTGGACAGTCGCAAGCCGTAAGAATTACGAAAGCTACAGTGCCGAAGAGCCAGAGCCGAAACCACTTACGGGGTTTAGGGTTTAGGGTTTAGGGTTTAGGGTTTAGGGTTTAGGGTTTAGGGTTTACGGGCGTATATAAGTCTTGCTCCTCAACTCCTAAAAGGCGCCAAACCACAGCTTCCCAAGCCCTAAAAGCTCCAAGCACCTAAACCCTAAACCCTAAACCCTAGACCTTAAACCCTAAGTTCAAAGCCCCTATCGCAGCCCTGATAGAGCTCCTCTTCTAGAGGCCCATATCGATCTCTTCTAGAAGCTCTTGTGGGACCCTGTTAGAGCAATGTAGGGGCCTAAAAAAATTAGAATAGGGCTTTGGGGCCCATTATACAATAGTCATAATAACGAACCCCCAAAGCCCTACTCTAATTATCAAGGCCCCTATATTATACTATAGTCATAATAAGGAACCCCCAAAACCCTCTTCTAATCATCAAGGCCCCTATATTATACTATAGTCATAATAAGGAACCCCAAAACGCTATTCTAATTATCAAGGCCCCGATATTAAAAAGCCGAGGTCCCTAAACCCTAAACCCTAAAAGCCCCGTTTATGGCAGGACTGAAGCTGACGGCTGCACTCTGCCGGGGGTTTGACGGAGCCCGGAGTCAAAAAAAAAAAGCCGTCGCGGCTGACTTCCTGGGATGATGAAGTTCTGTTTTTTTTTTTTTTTTTTTTTTGGGGTTTAGGGTTTAGGGTTTAAAGGGGGGGCTCCAGAAGGTTCAGGTAAGGGTTTCAGATGGGACCTGGGGGTTG